TCGCACAACTGCATCATATCATAGGAGACAGGCATATAAACATCAGTATCTGGTTTTGCAAAGACGAAAGCTACGAGAGACTAAGAGGGAGACACAGTGTGAGAGGGCGAACCTGTCTATATACAGAAGAATCTCCATAGGATTTCCTTAACTCTACTACATACAAGGATGGGCTTATCTCGAAAACCTGTCACATTTGAAATGATGATCATTTCATATGCCCCCAAAAAAATGAGCATGTAGTCATTTGCAGAAATGGAATTAGGGTTTTATGCACACCAAACAAATCAATTGATCATAAAAGAGATGCAAAATGAAGGTCGTGAGTGACGCTGGAAAATGAAAAATTTGACCCACGTGATTATATTATTCGTCTTCTTATATCTAGATTGGTCTACTGATCTGCATATTTCAAATCATTATGTTAAAATTCGACAGAATATAAGAATAATCCCTACCTCTGCTGCAACAGTGAGGTTGCCTAAACTTTTACGCGCCTTGTTCTCTTGTATCACTTTCACCTGAAATATTTGATCATACACTGACGTTAATTATTGCAAACCCAAAGGTTCGTTTATTTATGATGGTAATGGAGAAAGGTCATCCAAATAGTATAAGCAACGGTACCAACTTTTCCATTTTTCTTTTGGACGGTAAATCCCATTGCTGTCACAATGTCCTCAAGCCTCTCGATCAAGTCTTTTGCCGAGAGGTTGGACGTAAATCTTATCTTCCTCTCTGAGACATCCTAGAAATCAAAACAGAGGTGTTCGAATATGCGTAGGAAATATCCTTCGGAAGCGAAGAATAGTTAAATACAGCAAAAATTATGCCAAATACTTTCACACTCACCTCTTTTTCGAAGAAGCCAGAGAGGTCAAGGCATGAAGACATCCCTATCAGTTGAAATGCATTGATAAGGGTTGGTGATCCAGGACTCTTATCTTCTGTTTCGTGAGCCTATTGCCAATAACATAGCTCGGGGTTAGGTCAAAAGAAAAATTACAAGCCAAAAAAAAAAAACAAAAATAGAGTAGCAAGTTACATACCACTTCGTGGATGGAAAAGGCTTCGTCATCAATATATACGCCCTCTTCCTCATCCTCTGGCTTTGCTGGAATATAGCCCTGCTTGAACCATTCATCTTGTTTGATGCCAGCCATTGTTATCCGAGTAGCAGGGTTGGGATCAAGAATCCTCTTTATCATGTTTTTTGCACCAGACGATAGCCATTTTGGTATCTGAACATCCCCTTTAAGAATCTGCACAGATCATCATCAAAAAGAAATAGAATCAAGATGATCTTCTAACTATTTATTTTGCTGAAATTATAAAGTAATTTTGGTAAAGGAGAGCAGAAGGGCAGAATTTGAATACCCTTTGGTAGAGAACTGCAAGATTCCTATCATCAAACGGAAGATATCCTGTTAAGATAACATACAAGATGACCCCACAGGACCATGTATCTGATGTTGCGCCATCATATCCTTTATTAGAAAGAATCTCAGGGGCCACATAGTTGGGACTTCCGCAGGTGGTATGCAGCAAACCATCTGCCTGAATTTTCATACAGTAATCACAAGTCAATGACCAAATAATGCAGTGTGAGAATACTTATTTAATATGGTATACTTAGTCATCGAGGCGTGCTTAAAAGAACCCTTACTCTAAAATGCTGGGGTAAAGCACTTAGGCCAAAATCGGTTATCTTTATGTTGCCTTTGGCATCTACAAGTACATTCTCCAGCTGCAGCAATATAGCGTCATTTTTTCAGTATGAGGTATAAGTCAAAAAGGCCAGCAATAAATTATCACAATTGTTCTTATGATGTGAGGAGGAAATACCTTGAGATCTCTGTGGAAGACCCCTTTATCATGACAGTAGCTAACACCGTCAATCAACTGCTGGAAAAGCTTCCTTCCGTCAGCCTCTGGAAGTTTGCCTTTAGATGCCTATGAAAACAAGTGTATCCCATTGTCATTGCCACGTGATTGGCTGATATGATTTATTCCAGAAGACAAATGGTAATGATACTCACAATTCTGTCAAACAATTCTCCTCCAGTCACGTACTCCAGGACCATATAAATCTTGGTCTTGCTAGCCAAGACCTGTGAAAGTACAGTTATAAATCATAGTCAGCAGATTTTGGCTTCAAGACTTATTAAATGCAGGCTAATAAATATGCCATATATGTACAATAAGAAATAAGCCTCGCTTATGAGTATAATATATCAAAATGTCAACTAATTATTAGCGCAAGACTTTCATTATTGCGAGGGGCATGCTGATAGCCTAGTATAATGAGACGCATTTCTTACCTGAGGAAGCGGTGGGTGTAATTTTCATGACATGAATGCTCACCAAATCTTAATTAATTATCCATGGGACCACGAAATATTTATCCATAAGAAGCATGAAATATTACTTTTTTTGAAAATCGTCATAATTACGGATAGATGCTTGAAAACGATAAAACAAAAGAACTTCCATTATGTAAAAATTATATTATCAAACTAAATTTTTATTTAATATTTGAAAGGAAAAAAATCCCAAAAAGCTGACCCCACTCGTAGACCACCAAGCACATGGAGGTGGCCCACCTCCAAGTAATCATGCATGTTATATTAATTACAAACCACCGCATTAGAATTAGAGTTTTTTATTTGGCGCATTCTCACAAGTCACAGGGAAGCCCGGGGGGTGGGGTGGAAATCGGAATCCACATAAGCATCTTCATCAGATGCCGACTGCCAAATCCCCATCGGATGAGATCAGCCGACCTCCACGCCAGAACACGTAAAACTTGATTTGAACTATGCAAGGAAGAACCCAATAAAAAATATGCAGATAGATTCCGAGTATAAATTCTATAGAATCACCCAAGGTTTGAAAATTCATAAAACAAATACCGGATTCCTTACGTGTGAAGGAAAAATTTGATTTGGCCCACTTGCACCGGGTTTTAGTATCCAATTCAATTTTATATTCTTCTCATACGTGGCATATTGTTGCTCACACATAAGTTAAACCTTTCAATCCCCCATAATCAAACAAAGATAGGGAAAAGTCTTTGTGGTCCAGGTCAGTTATGAGGTCTTGAACCATATATATACGCGGGGATTTGGTTCAGTGCAAGGTCAGACGCCCTGTTCAATACAACCCGCATTGTCTTGCTCGGTTCAAGATATAGACATAACGTAACCATCCAACAAATAGGAAGCTAAGATAGAGACCCAGTGTTGGCAAACCTTGAGAGTACATTCCATGTATCAAAGATAAATAAAATAATTTAATAGTATATATTTTTTTAAGAAAACCACCTAATTTCTGAAGTGATAATGGATCCCAACTAATCTTAGATCGTACCAAATTGGGCACCAAATGAGAGAAGCTCTCCGACAAGTAATTTTTTCAATTCACATTGAATCAAATCCAAGCCTATTGTAATTAGCACAACCTAACATATTCGGCTAACAACGACGTCTGGCATAATATAATTAATATATTTTGGTGAAATTTTTATCTGATATATGTGGTTAAAAATATATAGGTGATTTATTTTGGCCTGAAATTTTTGGGTGATGTTAACTCTTCATTCAGATAGGAGGGCACTGAGAAAGTGCAACCACACAAGTCTAGGATAGAGTCCACACAGAATAATACTGCCAAGTGTGGACCTCTCTTGGGGGTAATGGGGAGGGAAAGGACGGGTGGGTGTAACTAGGGAAGGTGTTGTTCGTTGTTGTCGTCTTATGGAAGAATTTTCAGGGAAAATTCGTTAATAATTTGTATTAATGAAAAAATATATATTTCGGATTTTTAAAAAATGGCCACGGAAGCAACAACAAACAAGATCAGGGCCTCCATGATTGGTGCAAGCTCTTTTACTGTGCATCCTCGTGATCCACCGTCACCATTTATGCAGAAAAAGGTTACCATACAAATTATTTTTAGGACGAAAAACATTAGCTGTGGCCTCCTTTTTTTTTTTTCTTGGCGACAGCTGGTTTCTTATCCGATTAAATTTTCAATCTGTGAAAATTAATGCCGAGTAGAATTTTTCCATATATGACTTTGTACCTCGTGTAATCTGACCACGTTCGGATGCTTTAAGAGCTTCAAGGTGGCGATCTCCCTCTTAATCTGCAATTCCAGATTCATTTACATTAGACGGATTGTGACTAAGAGATTCTGCTAATGGGGGCAATAGCTATTAGCTTGAATCAAAATGAATAAGATGACGAAAGACCACAAATTTGTGAGTGAGCTTCAAATCTGGATTTATGCCTACGCTCATTAAACTCTGTCAACAAATCAGGCCCGGAAGTTCTAGAATTTTCCAGGCATGGATTAACGCTAGAGAGAGTAAAAGAGAGATCACTAAAGTAGAAGTGAAGCAGACCTGATTGGTTATATTGAGGTCAAGGATCTTTCTCTTCTCGAGGATCTTAACCGCGAAGGGTTGGCCGGAATCGGTATTCCTAGCTAATTTGACTTTTCCGAAATTGCCTTCTCCAAGAGTCCTACCAAGCTCGTATTTCCCAAGTCGCATTCCCTGTCCTTGCTTCTCCTGGTTTTTCTTGTTCCCAAGTTTCACGATCACCATCACCTAGACCCTCCGGTGCAGATCCCACAGTCTCCGGCGAAAAAGATCCAATATCCTTTTGCCGAACAGATTGTCTTCTGCTGAGCTGAACCGTCGCCGGCCACCAAATTTGAATCGGAAACAACAAAATCAGGACCAGAATACCGCAGCACGCCTAGAGTTTGGTCCTTCCGTTGCTCGGTGATTTTGGGTTCCGCGTTCGGAAACGGGTTGGTATTTAAGGCGCGCGCTTGAAGCTGAAACGTCTGCGCCGTGTAGTTTTTTTTTTTTAATTATTTTTTTATGCTAATGAAAATGACTTTATGTGATCCCCAATATATACCAGTTACAATTTTTCCCCGGGATATCAATGATAAATTTTATCAGTCGTCGGAACTATACACGTTTTATTTATCAAATCAAAGTTTGTGTAAAATGTGCGTTGTTTTAGATGAGTTATTGTTTTAAATATAATAATAGAAGTAAACAACTAATTTGTAAGTATAAAAAAATTAAATTAAATTACTTACTTATTATAAATGTGTGTTAATTTTTTTAGAACACCCACATTATAACTATCTTTTAATGAAAATTTTTTTTACCGCATGTTATCAATAAAAATACTTTGAGACAAATAATTATAAGTTTGGGAGGTTGGGTAAGTTAGGTTTTATATTTAAAATTAAAATAAATCATTTATCTAATTCTTATATTTAGAAAAAGAGGTCATCGGATTTTTAATGTAAATGTTAAATAACTAATTTGAAGATATTAAGAAAATTAATTAAGTTAGTTAATCATAAAAAATATGTATTAATTTTTTTAAACTATATTCTTTAATAATATATATTAGAATTATTTTTTGATAGTAATCTTTTATAATTAATATGGATATTTTAGATAAAATATTATAAGTAAATTGATGTTTTATATTAAAATATGCATAAACTGTCATCTATGTTAAGGATGGAACTTGGTACTCCTTCATTTCTAAATATAAAACCCTTATATACACTTGTATAAAGATTTTATATTTAAGACAAAAGGACAAAACTCTCAAATATCGAGATTCATGCGCTGACACAGTTGGCTTTTAGTTGGTGCATAAATGAACTGTTTGTGATGCAATAAACATGAATAAATGGATCTTCATCTTTTGTGTTGTTTTTTCTTCTTTTTTTTTTAACTTAACAATTTAATATCCACTTTCCCAATCACAGACACCAATACTGCAGCGCATATAAACAAAAGGTTGAACTTATAACCTCCTTACAACGCATTTTGAATTTTATAATTCGAATTAAAAAAAATCTCTGATTTTAAAAATGTTGTTGAGTCCCTACCCAATGATTAAGAGCCACAACTCACAAATCACAACACATTAATTTATTTAATTTAACTACGGTTACAGAATCTTCACGGATCTTCCCATAGTTAACTAATTATGTTAAATACGATAGAGTATTTAAATAAGTAATGTATTTGAAGCGGTATATAAAACTGAATCTAATGACCAAATTAATTAATACAAGTAATGAAAATTCATTTTATTGTGATAACATTATTATTCATATTATTACTCGGCCGGGTCAAGGTTCAAACTCCAAAGGAATGCCCCACACGAAACAGACACGACTTTTATTTTAGCGGGAGCACTAATTTATAAATGGTAATAGACAATCATCATTCATTCGTCATGTTCTATGATTGCCTGGACACTCTTGAAATGGGTCCCACACCTCGCATTAATTACTTTATAATTTTTCTCCTAATTAACGGATTAATTGGTTTTTAATAATACTCGTGTTAATATAAATTACTTATAATACATTATTGCATGTCAAAAAATACATTAAATTGTCAGTTTTTTTTAATTTTTTATTAAAGCTTTCTCTCTTTGTATTTACAAATAATTTTTTTATTTTTTTCCATTTTTTCCTCTTTTTTAAAAAAATTTCCTTATAAATAACTTACATTTATAAATTGAGTGGTGCATAATATTTGGTGACAGGGAAATCTCATTGTCGTCATTTGGCGCACATGTAATGTTTAGTTGTCGCGATCAAGGAAAAAAATTAATGGCTGAGATGCCTTTGATGAACGAATTAAATCCTTAAGGGTCTGTTTGGCACGAGGGTAGTGAAAGGAAAGAGAAAAAGAAAAAAATTTTAATGAGCTCGTTTTAAAAAAAATAAAAAAGTGATGTTATAAAATTTTGATGAAAAAAATGTAAGATAAAATAATAAGAAAAATTAATTAAAAAATTTTAATCCCACTTTTTAAATTTTTTAAAATAAGCTTATTAGCATTTTTTCTCCCCTTTTTCTTAATTTTTTTCTTCCCAAACAGACCCGAAGTTATGGTTTTCAATTTTAGTTTATTAGGGGTGAATTGATTTGCACAGGATAAATATGCAAGAGATAACTTCATCTCGTAAAATCTTAAAAAGATTAAAAGAGTACTCTTGAGGGGTATCCAAAAAGAATTAGGTAGCCAAGAAGGAAAAGAGCATTTTCTCTGATATTTGTTACAAGTCACTATTTAAAAGGAACGAGCAGTCCTTATGATAAATCATAAATTGAAGTATTGATTACATTTTTTAAATAATGTTTTTATTTAAAATTTGACGCAACTTTTTTTATTCTTCAGTATAGAATTTATGATTTTAAATCTAAGTAGATTTTTTCCCCCAAAAAAATTTAAAAAATTTAAAAATTTAATTTAACTATATTCTGATGAGGTGTCTGAGGATGTTGAGGAATTCTTGGTTACAAGAAGATAAATATGTGGTGGGCGTTTATCGTGCGTTTCGTCATCCCTGTCATCTTCTGTGCTTTTAATTTTTCTCGTGGGGCCCTCGAATGCTATTTTTTTTCCACTTTTATTTCAGCATCTTAATAAACTTTTATGTCAATTTTGTAATCGTCTTTGATTATGTTAAAAAACTTTTTTGGTGGGGTCTAATCAATCACATGGATTAAGAGCTGAAGCCAGAGCTCCTGGGAAAGTTTGTTATTCGTGGGAATTTTCTCTTCATGTCAAATTCCCGCTTTTTTCCCTTTTTGGCCAATTAGTGATTTTCTTGAATTTTTCCCCTTTTTTATTTGCTACAAATTGAATTAATTAACTTCATCAAGAGTTTTTTCTTCCCCTCTTCTTGACACGGAATATTCATTAGTTTCCATGAGATAATCTACATCATACTTTTCTATATAAGAGTAGAAAATGTATTAAAGAAAATAAATACTCCTCCGATCTTTAATATAAGAACCGTCTAACTAATTTGATTAGATTAAGAAAGTTAGGTAAGTTAGCTAATTATAAGAAAAGTGACACATTCTTCTTAAAACACCATAATCATCTTTTTTTAATACTCCTTCTCATTCTTCTACTTGATTATGGTTGATGAAGTATCTATAAGGGCAATTTAGAGAAAATTGATAAATATGAGAAATGAGTCTTATATTTAAAACCAAAACCAATTCAATAATTAGATCCTGTATTAAGGACCGGAGGAGTACAAGTTATCACCACATTTCACCAACATCCTGTGGTAGTACATCAGACGATCCATTATATAAAAAGACACTATATACATATAAGTTAGGGGATAAAGTATACATACAACTTTTTAATTTTATACAAAGTTTTAATTAGTTTTCTCAACTTTAAAAGATATGCTTTTAGTTTTTTTAATTCTAGAATTGTCAATAAAAAAATGACATATCTTAGACATTGATAAAACTTTTTCAAGTACTAACATGCTAAGTTAAATATTCAAAATAATCATGACTATTAAAAAATTCATCATTTAAATCAAATAATTTTAGGATTAAATGATTAAGAATATACTTTTAAATTTAAACAACCAAATTGAAACATTTTAAAGAATTAAAGGATTAAAAAGAACCTCTATCAAAAATAAACATTGCCACATATTAATCTTATATTTTAAACCATGAAAATGAGAACTAAATTAATCCTTTATATACACGAAACCTCACTGTTTGATTTGATTTGGCTCAATTTCAGTTAGGATCTGTAAATACAGTGAAACCCGTAGTTAATATTTCTCATGTCTTAAATATAAAACTCATTTTATAATATAATTTATATTATAAAATGAGTTTTATGTTTAAAATCAGAACAGTATTAACCTGTCTGCTAAAAAAATCATAAAATAAAACAAGATTCCATCAAAATAGTCCGGGTAAACATTTAAAACGTTCAGAAAAGTTATTAAAAGAATAATTAATTTGCAATCAGCAGTTGGGAAAAGTGGTCCTTCCTGGTGGGAAATTGGTGGCAAAATCACGGCCACACGAAAAGCATGGGGCATTTAAAAATTGGCTAGGTGTAGGGTCATGGTTAAATCTTGATCGAATAATAATATTATTTTAATATATAAGTAACTTTGTGTCTGTGAAAGCGGAAAATGATTCGAAGCGGGTAATGGGAATCGAACACGTGAATGAAATGAAACGTAACCTATGGAATGTTGAGTGACATTTGTCAGCATTCGGATAATTCCACGCACTATTGGCCCCAAAAAAAAAAAAAACAAAGATAATTCCAAGGCACGATGATTGTTATATTGAGTAAAATTTGTGTGGGGCCAGCTATTAATTTATGCTTGTATTTGTTGACTAATTAACCAGCCACCCGGCAATAATTTTGCCCTTCTTAGCTAAGTGTTCCTCCCTACTTTAATAACACGTCACGTGATGCTTTTTTACCTTCCACGTCTTCATTGAAAAGGATTCTTTTGTTGCTAGTCACGCTGGGCTTCGTCTTTTTTAAATGTAACAAAAAAATAATCTCATTAATTCTCTTTTATTTTAATAACTTTTTATCTTTACTCTTCTTAACTAAATACATCTTCCCAAAAAAAAAATTATACAATAATAAATAAAAACTAAAATAGTAGTGTTAAAAATTTAATAATATGATTAAAATTGTTTTTGTCTCTGTGCTTATAAAAAGAATCAAAGGAGTGGTAAAAAAAAAAAAAGAACCAAAGGAATAAAAAGTGCTCCCTCTCATCTCTAACATAAAAGTTGGTTGGGGCGTTCATCAAATATAAAATATTTATATTATTTTTCTCAAACTTATTTAAAACTTTATGTATTGTATTTATTATTTTTCTCAAATTTATTTAGATAATTTATAAGTTAATATAAGTTAATATACAGTTTGATTTAATGTTAGACAATGATATTTTAAAGAGATTATCTCACATTTGTTTATAGGTAATTAGTTTATTTGGTTTTCTTAATTTATTCAAATTATTTTTATGTTAAGAATGAGAGTAATAGTTTTTTATTTAACCAATGAGCAAAAACAATAGTAATATTTTTCTAATTCATCATTAGTCTTGTCATGATCACGCTATCAGAGGTGGGGCGGCACCGCTCTAAAGCACATGATGAGCCCCTCCATGATCATCTTCCTACGCATTAACCACTAATGATGGTGATTGTCATGATAAAAATATAATATTTTAAGTTCAGATTATGAAACCTTCAATCATAATTTATAAAATATAAAATAAGTATATGAAAAGAATTTTGTTTATAAATACTACCTCCGATTCTATTTATAAGACCTTATTTGTAAACTATAAACGAGATCTTATAATTAAGACACAAGGTAATACTTAAATAAACCAACCGAAATCAGTATTTAAAACGGTTTTAACTCCTCGCTACTCAAGTTTAATATAACTTAGGTTGGCCAAAAAACAAAATTAATATAACTCAGGCATACTCCAGGACTACAGCGAAAAAAACATAACACTCTCGGGAAAGGCCTGGCTCCGACATGTTTCGCGTACGTTTTTTTTTTAAAAACAATCTCAAATAAATTTTACTCATATTATATATACACACAGTTTTCAAGAAAAAACATTCAACATAATAATAAACTAGACATGAAATGATATATTTATAAAATAAATTTAATAAAATATTTCTTTGATTTTAAATTTAAGACTTGTGATTATGGACAAAAAAAAAATCTCTCAGTGTATATACAATATGATATCATAAATATTTGAATGTATACATATTCGTTTTCCAGTTATAGATGGGAAAAAATATTTTTTTCTGACAATTTATAAATGCAATAAATAAGTTCATTACGGAAAATTAATTATAACATAAACAGTATATTACCGCGTGATTTGCACCTGTTAATTGTTAAACACATCAATAAAAATAAAATACACAATTAATAATTATTTCAATTACAAAAGCATATGAAAAATTAATTTTATTAGATATTTAGCATATTACATGCTAACCAAATTTCTTGGTGGCCAGTGTCACCCCTCATGCTTAGATAAAGTCTACGATTCAGTCTAATATTAATATTTATGTGTAAATATATATTAATCACATTTTTAAAAAAAAAACGAAATTTCTTGGTGGAGCCTCCATGTTGGCTCCGAACCCATCACGCGCAACCCAACTTTCCAATGTCTCGCCAACACAACACAATTCCACGACTGGTGTCAGCCTCTTCTCCGTCTCCGCTTCAAGGCTTTCAAAAAAATATTGTCGCCTGCTCTATGCATTGAATCAGAGGGACGTGCTTTAATTTAAGTGGGGGAGGAGCCTTAATTTCTAACAAAATCTGGGGAAAAAAAATAAAAAAAGATGTTTATCCATGTATTTTAGAAACTATTAAAACAGTGACAAGGTTGGGAGAAATAAATCAACAAAGAAACTTGTCTAGAATGACAATTAGAACATTTAAAAACAGTTGAGAAGAGTTTTATTTTCACATAAAAATATTTATTTATTTAGCAGCTCTAAATAAGCTCTAAACAAGTATAAGAAGGAACGAGTACATGCACAATTATTTATTTATTTACAATGAATAATAATGAACTGGGCGCAGACGCATAAATGCAAGTAACAACGACTCCAATGAATTGTCCGTAGTGATAAAGATTTTGTTTTGGCCAAAAAAAAAAAAGATAAAGATTTTGTGAAATGCCTGTTCCACCGGAATTAAAAAAAAGGATCTGAACTGGGGACCACTCCCCTTTGAGGCCCCCACTCCCATATTGGGAAATCTATAAATATTACTCCTCCGGTCCTTATTATAAGACCCAATTTGACTTTTTATTTGGTCCTAATTATAAGACCCAATCCATTTTGTCTCTTATATTTATGCATTTTTTTCCAAGATAATCCTTCTAATAATGATAGTTTTAGCCAATATACTTAATTAGCAAGGATATTTTAGGAATGATAATACTTATTTATTATAAATAACCAACTTAACTTACTTCCTTAATCTCCTCAAATAAGTCAATTGGGTCTTATAATTAGGACCGGAGGAGTAATATTTAATGGTATTTAATTTTTTTTATAATTAATTTGATGCTTAAATATTGTAAGGCTGCTCGGGTGAGCCACGTGGATAACGTTGCTGTTAAAGTCGCTGAGAAAATAAATGCTGTTTCAGTTTTTCCGCACCACGTGTGACTTGTTGAAGACAAAGACCTTATTTTCAGATTTTTCCCATATTAAGATATACATTTAATCCTCAATTTTATGTAAGATTTTAATTTGATTTTTTAACTTAAAAAAATAAATTTTTAGTATTTAGCCTTAAAATTATTAGACTGGATTGATATTTTTTGTAACAATAATGATTATTTTAAAAATTAAATTTAATATGATAGTGTTTAATAATATTTTGTTATTATTTAACAGTTTTAGAGTTAAAAAATTAAAAATTTACTTTTTAAAATTAAGAGATTGAAATATGATTTTGTGTAAAATTAAAAGACTAAAAAATATATTTTAACTTTAATTTTATTAATAACGCAAAAGTCCCATTTATAGCTTTTGTATCATGTTGCAGACTTTCATTTGATGCTTGCTTGTCCTTCCGGGACTTGGTGTTTCTTCCAATAATATTATAATTGAGCATGTTTTCTGATGGAAAAGAAAAAACTATTCGCAGAACTTGTATAATATAATATCTCTCACTTCCTCAAATTTTGTTAATCATGAAAAATCTAATTAAATTGACCAAATAACAAGATTTAATAGTACTCGTCTGATCTTTAATATAGGATCTAATTATTAAGTTAATTTTAATTCTAAATATAAGATCTGTTTCTCATATTTATTATTTTTTTCTTAAATTATCCCTGTAGATACTCTCAGCCATGATCAAGTAAGTGAGAGAAAAAGAATGTTAAGAAAAATGATTATGGTATTATAGAAAAAACATACTATCATTTTTTATAATTAATTAACTTTTCTAATTTTTTTATTTTAATTAAATTAATTAAATACATCTTATATCCGTACTGGTTTTGTCTTATGTGTTATAAATTAAAGTAAAGGAGGTTTTCATATCCTCATTACGCATGTAATAAAATCCGGAGGATTCCAACCTTGATGTCCCTGGCAATTTGCCTTTTGGAAGATAACACTCACGTGGAATCACTACCTAAAACCTCCATTATTGATTATATGAGATTATTCATTCTCTCCATCGTTGCATCTTCTGTCTCTTCCTTCCCAGACACAACACCAGCACACATATATTTGTGGATATATAAATGGATTTTTCCTAAATGTATTCTCACTTTATTTGATTATTAGAAATTAAAGAAATGAAGGAAAATGTAAAAGGAGAATTACAATCTGGTTATAAGAAAGGAATCTAATTACCTTAAAGTTTATTGACAAGTGAAGAGTAAATAATAACAATTTTTAAAACAGAAAATGACAACAGATTTAGACTGTTCACCTGTTATTAGAACTTTTTAGTAATTAATTTTTTTTATTGGGACTCCTTAATAATTTTTCCAAATATAAACGAGTAAGTGATGATGCGTGTAACAGGGTTGGTGCATTTTTTTGGGTTTACCAACATTATAATTGGGGCATTTATTAATAAAATGAACTATTCCTAACTCTATTATCTGGCAAACCCTATACCAAATTTCCATTCAATTAATGTTAATCAAACCCAATGTACTTGATCCTTCATTGGTATGCGTCAAAAATTTTTTTTTTCCCACTTTCTGTACTAATATAACATATAACTGACTAATTTATATGCTGGCAAAAAAAAAACTAATTTATAAATATTTAAAAAGTAAATAAAATTGTTTTCCTTTATTTTATTAAAAAACATGTGACACACTCTCTTAAATATTCTAAAAAAGGGAAAGGGTGTTAAACGTGGGAGAAAAAAATAGGAAGAGAAAAACTATGAAGTTAATGAGGTTAATTTAAAAAGAAAATATTAAGAGATCCTGCAGTTACAATGAGATGGAATAATATTTAAACTAACACTCCCTCCGCTCCTTTTGTATCAAAAAATGAGCGTGTAATTTTTTGCTTCCATTTAAAATATTTTTTGTTTTTCCACTTATATCCTTTTTAAAAATGAGACAAGTATGTTCTCGTAATTTTCACACAGTTTTCGCAAGAGTATTATTGGGGGAAAAAAAATTCGGCTGCCTATATATTTAAAGCTTTCAACTACATTAGATTATTATTCTTGATATTGAAAAAAGTAGATATTTGTTTCTTATAATTAGGCAACCAAGCCAGTGGCATTTACTTGCAAACATGAAACATGAAACTCCATTCACGTAACTGTTTGCCAATAATTTTGTTCGGTGTCGCTTGTTAGTGCAAAAATGCATAACTTATTTAAATTAAATTCTTTCATGATTATATGACATTTGATTGCCACGTTACATATTGTTTGATATAAATAAATAGAGACAACTCTGTTCATTTTCTTTATTACAATATTCAGCTTCTTTTACTCCTCAGATTTTTAATTAAGACCTAATTAATTAATTTGAGTAGATTAAGATAGTCAGTTAAATTAATTAATACTCCTCCGGTCCTTATTATAAGACCCAATTTGACTTTTTATTTGGTCCTAATTATAAGACCCAATCCATTTTGTCTCTTATATTTATACATCTTTTTCCAACATAATCCTTCTAATAATGATAGTTTTAGCCAATATACTTAATTAGCAAGGATATTTTAGGAATGACAACACTTATTTATTATAAATTACCAACTTAACTTACTTCCTTAATCTCCTCAAATAAGTCAATTGGGTCTTATAATTAGGACCGGAGGAGTATGATATGTTCCTAAAACACCCTAAGCATATTTCTTAATTCCCTCCCCTCTCTTCTATTTAATTATTATTGGGAGAATATCAATAGAATTAATTTGAAAAAAAATTGATAAACATATAAAATAGGTTTTACATGCAAGATCAAAATAAATTCTCTAATTAAGTTTGAATTTTATATACAATGACCTAATTAGAGAATTTATTTTACTCATCTTCAATATTCCTAATTTTTTATAAAAATAAATTTATTATGTATATAGTATTTTTATTATTTAATGATATTTGATATACTATAATCTATTTATAATAAAAAATCTCACGACTATTATTAGCGTGACTAAGATTTCTTGTCCTTGTAATCTATGATAATTAAAATCCAGATTAAAAAAAACATCGTTGACTAAGTAGATGATTTTTTTTAAAAAAATAAAATAATAGAAGGGACGGCATGAAAGCGAAGCGACGACGTCTTAAGGTCCCGGGAGAACACGTGCACGCTTTCAAGTTGAGCTAGATTTGGTCACATACGGAGGAGTAACGACGCACATGTAAATACATAAAATATCCCAAATTCCCAATTGCTCCATGACAAGCCCTGAGATCAATTTTTTATTCAATTTACGTTAACCAAACCCAACACTTCATCTTTCTTTAATTTGAGCACCGCCCACGCCAATCTCAAGATGTGTGTGTGTGTGTATTTTATCATAATGATAATAGTATTTGACTGCACGCGTGGAACTTTGTTTATGTATAATTATATTGATTGGCTAAACATTTTACTTTCTTCCAAAAAGATAGCAAAACTAAAAACTAAAAACTAAAAACAATTACTTGTAACAAAACCCCGGCCAATACAAATACTTGACTAATTGGTTTGAATCCTGATGCTCGAGGATCTGTTTGGGAGAAATTTTGAAACGATGATTTTGGCTCAAATCAGTATGTTGGGAGTTAAAATCACTTTTGCCCTTTGAATGGGTGTTTTCTTCTTATGCAACAAAAATATTAGGTGAGTTGGGTTCCGGAGATTCATCAGGATCAAGTCATATCTCCAAACTTAGACAGTACTTATATAAATACTTACATATTTTCTACTAATAAGTTATTCGCATTGGTAGTGGAATTTAAATTTACAATATTTTAAATTATAAGCCGTGTTTTTACTAATCAGACCAACTCTTATTGGCCAATGGGTGTTTGATTACTCTGTTTTTTTTTTCCCCCGAAATCATGGTTAGGGCTAATACCATGATTTCAAAAGTCCTCCCAAACCAGTCCTTAACATGAGAAATAATGTTTTAGTGGATATAATATAAGTATATTATGGTTACGAAAATGAAGAGAGGGAAGTAAGGAAGAAGAAATGCGGGGGAGGCCAATAATAGAAGAGCAATGGAAGTGAAGAGGACACGCAACGCAAAAGCACCATCTTCTTCTGTTTGCTTGTCTTTTTTCTGAAGCAACCTAATCCTAAACAATCAGCCCTCCATTCCCTTTAGTTCAGGATCTTGTCTCTCTCTTCTATAACTCTTGTGATAATTAAATTACACATATTAAAAATTAATTAAATTAGTTACTTATAAAATATGTATTTAATTTTTTATGTTGAAAATCACCAAGCTATTGACGTAACTCCTTTTAATGTATGCAACTAATATACACAATTGGAAAAAAAAAAAAATCATAAGTTGAGGATATGAACAAAGGTTTCACGTTTGGAATTAAAATAAAATAATATGAGCACAAGTGATGTCCTGCATGGCAGCACACATGGTGGCCATATCACCTAATAAGAGTCTAGTGGATCTAAACATCTTCTACATGACATTGAAGGTTGAATAAATGAGGGAGAATTGTAACGAGGTATTAATAAAAAAATTAATTACTAGTAAATTTTAATAACAAGTGAGTAGTTGTCATCTACTATCTTAAAACTTGTCACATTGTAGGCTGCTCTGTTGTTAGTGAAACGTTTTAATAATTATGTTCCTTAATTAGAACTTCATAGCAATTTTCTTAATAACTGATAAAAACAAACATGCTTTGTGTAGTTGAAGATGATATAAGGCCTCAGTAGAAAAATTATCATTTTTATATAAATTCTTAAGGTTGAGTGTTATAATATGCGTGTGCACAATTGCCTATATATTGGAAGAGGTTAGTTGGAAGTTCACATGGCTTAAATTTGGATGAATTAGCAGAACTTGAAAGTGAAATAAGCACATGCATTTGAAAATGACAAAATCAGGAAGACCCACAGCCACTATTATGGTTGTTAGGAGGAGAGGCCCAGTGCTTATTATTATTATTATTATTATTTTTAATAAGAACAAACAAAGTTTAGGTACTTTTAACTTTCAAACATTTATCAATAGGGGTTGGGTCTAGCGGAATGGGTTAATCCTTCACAACGTGGCCAACCAAGATTCGAGTACCTGCTAGGAGAGGTGTCCACATTTAGCGCTCGACAGTGCCTCGAAGAGGATTGCTTCAAATAGGAGGATACCCATGCTTTAGCTAAAAAAAACTTTCAAAGATTTAACTAAAATCAAAGCAGACCTTAGTTCAATGAGCGTTAATAAAACAATATATAGATAATTTGCCAATAAAATCCTTACAATAATAATGTCTAAAGTCGCAATTTTATAGAAAATAATCAAATTCTTATAAACTAAATCAACATTCGTGAGGAGACCCGAATGTGAACTCTTTAAAAAAAAAAAAAAGGAAAAAATGAAAGAAGTAAACAGTAACAGGTGGAGATGATATCCATGCCACTCCATTACCAGACCAAGTCCAATAAAACGCGGACATGAAAGGAAAGAGAAAGAGCAAGGAGGTTGGTAATAGGAAGAAAAAAGTGTGTGTAAGCAGAAGATGGACGTGTGAAAGCAAAAGGCTTCTCGAAAGCTGCCCACATTCGCCATGCCCACCTTTTATTTTTTGGCAGGCTTGGACCACAAACAGGAAAAGCAACCCCCCAGAACAGATAAACGAGGTTTCCTCCACATGTTTTTGGTGTTTATAATGTCATGTGGCCCACCATCACGTGCTCTGTTCAGCTTTGTTTTTATTTATTTATTTGTATTTTTATCTTTGTCAAATCCGTATTAATTTTTTTCACACTAATTTATTTAATCTATGCTATTTATAGCGTTGTCTCTTCATTTTCAAGCCATACACACCTTACGCGCGATAATAATTGCAAGTTTAGGTCAAAATTGCGCGCTGCGGATGAAAACTCAAATCTGTTCCGCGCTTGCCGCCGCCATATTTAGAAACCAAGAACTTCCACTTTTTTTTTTTTTTTTTCACGTAACGATGATATTCAAACATCCCGGGAGTTTCTGTATTTTTCCCCTAAGAAAAAAATTAATTTTTTTATTTCTATAGTTTTAACTTGTAATTTAATCTCTACACTTTAATTTGGTGTAATCTACTCCTTATAGTTTTAATTCAGTTTTAGCTCTAAACTCTAAATTTTAACTCAATATAATTCGAAACTATTATTATCTTTGGTTCTTAATATAATAGTTAGATAATTAATTAATGAATATTTAAAAAATTATTTAAGTTAGTTATTTATAATAAATAGATATTGTCCTTCTTGACATGTCTTTATTGATAATATGAATTTGAATTATCTCTTAATAGAAACTCCTTATTAAAAAAAAGTTATTTTATAATAAAGTAATAAATGTTGAAAACAAAATAAACTGAGCCCTATATTGAAAAGGAACACATAGGAACAACATACTACTACGTGGGGCCATAAATAAATAGGGACCCACTATGAATGGGGACTATGAGGCGGCCCTTGGAGGTGCCTTGCTTGCCACTCACTCATCTCAGGGGGAGGGAGACAACACAACCCACACTCTGTGGCTGTGGATGTGGACCGTGGACTTTGATTTCTCTGTTATTTCAACCTCCAACATTTGTCCTATGTTGCACCACCGGCTAATTTCAATCCTTTACATTCAATCTTGTGATAGACTGAATTTAACAGCCATGAGTTTTTATCCCAAAAAATGATAGCTAATTAATTTATTTTTTTAGACAGTTATCTGCAACTCATTTTCTCCTTTCTCTATCACTTTTATTTTGGAGATTTTTCAGAAAAATAAAATTTCAATTCTAAAATCTAAATCCAAAAGTTTAGAGACACTAATGCGCATAGAAAATTAGATTCGGTTGGAGAAAAAAGGTGCATAAAAAGGGACTTTTCCCTTCTCACTCCTTCAAATGAATTGCTGGTGCTGAATAGCTAATTTGCTAAGACTAATTAAAATTAGTTAATTTAATTACTTGAAATCATATATATTAATTTTTCTAAAAATACTTACTTTAATAATCATTTGCATTAATTTTCCTAAAATACCTACGGGAAACTCAACATGTACAAATAATCACAGGATTATCCAGACCAGGAGCTTACATTTCTTACCACAACATCGTTGCGGGCAGGCAAGGCATTATACTACTCAGTAAAGCTGAAGTTTACACTAAGGAAAACTTAACCTTGGGAATAAGGCTTAACATTTTTTTTTCCAAAACAAAAAAAGAAGACTTTGAAGGTCTAATTACAAATCATCGATACTAATGTTTGCATATAATATAAAACATTAAAAAATTGCACTATTCATAGATAATGACTAATAAACCTGGTTTCACAATTTATATGGCACACATCAAAATGTCCTAGTTTTTGAAATATAAGAATCGAATTAAGAGTTAAGACAGATAACATGGATGAAAACAATTCTTTGGCCGAACAAAATTTCGAAAAAAGTTATGTCTTAATTTTGGCTGGAGAAACAATCCTCCATCATCTAAAAAATACCCACAAAAGCATTCCGAAAAGCTCAACGATTTAACATATTTTGCATTTCAAGATGGGATAATGAGAACATCACATGCTAAATCTACTCCAAATTTGAAGATTGACAAGACTTCAAATCCCAAAACATAAGCATATCTTCAGAGACAACGAGCTTTTCATTGAATAAATAAATTGAGAGTGCAAAGATAAATTAGAGACAAGAAATGCCTGCACTGTAACTCGTGGCCAGGTTCCTCCTTGGTAGTATGCACAATATATATACTTCATCAAAAGGAAGTTATTAAATCTCAGCCAGATAAAGCCCAGCGACTTCGGAGGATGAAGAACACCTTTCTAGAATCTCAATCCGACAATTTGTGCATAGCCAGCAGATGAATTTGAAGACTAGTAAAACCAAGACAGCAACTAAACCATGTCCTTTTCGTGTTCAATTCTTCCATTGTTGATTTCATCACTCATGGCGTGCAGTGCATTATGCTTCAATAAATATTCCCTCTGCCACACAAATATTTCAGTTTATATAGCATCTGAAATTCCCAGTTGAACCAGTCAACTATACACATGCAGAGCAATGTCCATGTAATACCTTTTATGTACACAAACTATCAGAGAGTAATGAATGCATCACATGTAGAGTTAATCTCCATCTAATATAGAAATATATACCCCATTTTGATGCAAAGGGTATGGTTATCCTTCATGGCACGCACGTTACACTCTACTCTTATATTGACAGCAAAAAGTAACGATTGGGACAGAAATGTGTACCAAAAAAGAGCAAACATCATAAACAGATTGGGAAGATAACTTGATATGAAGGGTGCAATGGGGAAAGAAACAGAATACAGAAATAGCCAAAATGCCAAATTAAGGATATCTCCGAGCTTCTCTCCATCTAGTTATTTCAGATTGAGCCATTTTAATGTCCTGACTTAGGCCAAAATGACATGACACATTAATAAAGCTTGCAAAATGTTCTTAATACTCCACTTCTGCCATACATGCTTCATTTTATTATTTTGCGAAGGAAGTCAGCGGGTGTATGAACCATTCCCCCCCCCCCCCCAAAAAAAAAAAACTGGTAGCAAGGAATCGAGTCTGATTATGGCATCCAGTGAGTTCCTCTCTGACAACAACCAATCATATCTTTCTTACCAGCAAAATTACTCATGTAATTAAGATATACTAATATTTACATTCACTAAAGGTGCTTAATAGTGTTAACAAAAACAACAAAAGGACATGACTAGATCCCACTCCCCTTTTATTTGTAACTAAATCTTTCATCATTGTCTTGTTACTCAAATAAAAGGTAGGACCACAAAAACAAAGCTTCCAGGCTAATATAGCAGCTTAAGACAAAGTGAACAGCCGAAACCTAATTAACAAACAAGTTATAAAGATGCCAACAGGAATCCGCATGATTTAGGTCAATTCACTTGCCCATATCAGTTAGCTTGACAGGCCATATGAATGCATCTCAGTAGCTCAAAGTCTAGCTTGGCAACTAGCACACATCCATAAAAATAATAGATTATTTCAAAGACACACATGGAAAGGAGCAGGTACACAGAGAGAGTGAACTACCACATACAATGTTGTCATGCTTCTAACAATAATTTGCACGTTTTCTTATTGTGACCAAGTCCCTTGCAATTACTGCACTGCAGCTGACGTTTAATTATGTCTACTGATTCTGCCTGCTTCATCTTTGGCCGACCTGGAGGTCGCTTTGTTGGTGGAGGGGTTACAGCTACTATTGTGCCTGAATCAAAGACTGGTCTGTCTACACTGGGCACAGGATGAATAGATTCTGCATATGTTAACCGGTAATTCTCAACAGAGAAGTATCTGGAACAATAATCGTATGGGTTTCTACCAATGCATTCAATGACAGCGATGGCATGACAGCAAGGCAACCCATAAATTTGCCATCTCTTGCAGCTACAATCCCAATGGTCAACATCAACAATCTCAACAGATTCTCCACGGACCTCGAATGTACTACCTTGTAAGAGCAACACCTGAAATGATCGTGCAACTGAAGATTCACTTTGAAGCATTTCCTCTTTGGATGGGGTCAATTTTGTCATCCATTGATTGGACTCCACACGTTGTGTATAAATTGCTTCCATCATCTTTCCTCGTAATACATCAATCATTTGAGTAATTGGCAATTCATGCGCCTCTGACACCCAACTGTAGAATTGATGTCCAAAATTAGATATTAGATGATTATACCTAGCTCCAGCAAAAAATGCATTTGCCCAGTTCTCAGGCTCACTTTGCATGACCCAGTCATAGGCTTCAGGAGAAATACCTTTAATGTTCTCAATACTGTGGTCAAAAGCCTCCATTTTGGGTGCATAAGCAGCAGCATAAAGATCATTAACCATGAAGCGTCTTGCCTCATGAGAGAACTGACCTTTCAAGTCCTTGTTCAGTTTTTCGGACAGATGACGTAAACAATAACTGTGGTAACATTTTTCAAATATCTCAGCCAGAGATCTTTTTAAGCCTTTCTCATAGTCTGCAACAAATGTTATTTGCTCAGATGTTGATAGTGCTGATTTTAGCTCCTGCAGAAACCAACGCCAGTTGTCCTCAGTCTCAGCATCTACAACAGCAAATGCTACAGGAAAGATGCCATCATTCCCATCTGCAGCTGTTGCAGACAATAAATCCCCTTGGTACTTCGAGTTTAAAGGAGTACTATCAAGAAAAAGGAGAGGACGACAACCTTGCTGGAAACCAGATATTGAGGCATGAAATGATATGAACAAACGATGAAAGCTTGAGTCCTCTTTAGTTGTAAATGTTGCAAAACTCCCAGGATTAGTCTCTTTTATCTTCTCACAGAAAAATGGGAGTTGAGTATATGCCTCTTTATAGGAGCCTTGTAGCTGCTCTCTGGCAATCTCTTTTGCACGCCATGCTTGAGAATAATTTAACTGAATCCCATACTCACGCTTTATGTCATCTGCAATATCCTTTGGCTTATAGTTAGGAGAGATTTTTAATTTCTCTTTTATGATACTTCCCACCCAACCCCTAGTTGCCCGATACCCAGCTTTTAGAGCAGCCCCCTCACAAGTATGTTTTGTGTTCATTTTCTTAATGCAAATCAATTGGGTGGTGGTCAGCCTTGATGCATAGATCCTCCAAGGGCAACCTTGAGATTTGCACTTCACAGTGACACGATGACTGTCATTTTTTTTATATCTGTAAGCAAACCCATGGGCAATAGAGTATTTATGCAATGCTTCTCGGAATTCACTAAAACTATTAAACCTTTGATCCACACCAGTGATGGTATTTTCCCACTGCTGAGCAGCCTTTTGATGCTTGTCATCCATGGCGCAGGATGGTATACAGGATAAAGGACCTCGATCATTGACATCCACCTCAATTTGTTCAATGTCATGGACAGTATCAACTGGAACATCAACAGGGGCAGCAACAGGAACAGCTTCTGACACCGTAGTCCTGCTTGACCTGCACTGACGAGTATTCTATAAGATATTTTTTTACAAGTGGAACAGATATAACTCCAGAATACCTATGGCTGTTCATCTAGTAAAAGCAAGAAAATGTCTTCCAACAAATTAGAACTTACAAGCACAAATCTCTGACCTCATAAACCTAAATGTGATTTCTGCAACCATGGACTAAATAGATCTACAGAATTACTTATGCCAGGTGGAAACAAAAGGAGACACGGACAACCAAGAATTGCGAATAACTACCTACTACCAGGCATATTAGATGTATTTCGAGCTGGTGCTTCCTCTGATATGATGAACACATCAACTGTGGCAGAATCACCCAGGAAATTGATCATGCGCTGCAAATCCTTGTCTTTTGACACAGTAATTAGAGTTTTCTTGTTGCCGGGAAGGAAGTACTTGATGATCATTGTATCTACATTAAAATTGAACGTTTCTGCTACTTCAGACTTGAAATGATTCAGCGGCGTCTGTGAATCGACGTCTATTGCGTAGGCGTCACCCCCATTGTATGACAACGATCCATCCTTATTCGTCACAAACTCACCTCCTGATTGACATATAGCTATAACCTTTTTTGTAGCCATGGCCTAGTTACAAAAAAAGAACGCCGCTAGTAAGACAAACTTATTTCTCAACGCTTAATTTCATAGGCGACAAAACCTGAAGAAGTGTACATTCAACATTTTGAAACTCTAACGGCAAATGCCCATAGGAAAACAAAAAGGACCTACATTCACTGCTCTGAATCCCCAATCTTTACACCGTATCACAGCATAGAAAAGAAATAAACCTTTACGATGTAAAACTCACATAAAACATATCAGGATTGATGACACAATTCCGTATTCAAAAATCAATTCCCTTTAATAAAACAGGCACGACACCAAAAAGACAGAAAAAAAAACCTCCTGATAAAACCCCAAAACGAAAATTTCCCTCCGACGTTCCAAAAAGCTTCGAAACATAAGTATAATCATTACAAAACAGAAAACTAACCCTAATCAACTGGTGCACAAAGGAGCAAAACGAAGACACTTACCGGAAAGCCAGACTATGCGAGGCCCCTTAGACGGTCTCCTTTCGTCTGCTTGGTCTCCCACGACGCTAAAGTTGGAGACTTTTCTGCTCTGCCTGGCCGAACCAATCGGAGAGAGCGTGAGGCGCTAGCGCATGCCCATATCGGCCAGAAGGGGCGGGCTGGAACTGAAGTTATGCCGGTTACGACGTCGTAGTATCCGTGTCCCGAGGCTATGATTGATATAGTACTCGGAACCGTTGATTTGTCATACTTCTATTTTATGCTTGACTTTTAATGGTCTTAGATCAACTTCCGCGTTGACTAGGGGCCCCAAAGCCCAGTGCATAGATGTACACACGTCGCTAGTCAAAGTCACGTGTTTCTTGCTTCTCACCCCATGAAGGCACTAGTTTGTCCCATTTAGCAACAAACAATAATTACCCCATTTTCATCGTTTTTCTCCCTACAAAATATTCTCTGTGTAATTTTAGAAATTAATCAAACTCGTTATATATAGAACTTACTGTGGAAACATTAATTTGGGCACAACTTTGCTTGAGGACTTTTTCCCTAATTATACATAGACCAAATTAAGTTAAAATAGTTTGCTATTTTTTATGCCAGATAAAGTGTGTGAAATTAGAATACAATGCAACTGGGAGTGGGTTGTTTATTACTGTTTTAATAGTCAACTTCATTTTTAATGGTTTTTTTTTTATTTATAAGAAGGATCATACAACAAATAATGATTCATAATAAAACATAATGCGTGAATTTTCTCTTCACGAACCTTGAGAAATAACACTGCTCACTCTAGTTTATTACTCAGTCTAGACCATTTCTCAGGTTCGAAATCCGACGTTTGTTCGATTTATCCTAGGCTTGGTCAATTATTTCATTTCGAACCCCGTAATTTTCTTTTTATTTCTATAGCTGTGGAAATGAAATTTTGAAAGGCAATCCATATTTAATCAAATAGATAGCATATATTCAATAGAAGTGGTCCATATTTAACCCAAAAAGGAAAAAAGAATAAATTCTAGTTTCCCTTTCTTCTTATTTTAATAGTAGTGTGACCTTATATACTATGAGTTCATTAGCAGCAGAGAAGTTACTATTCGAATTTCGAAGAGAATGCTGTAAGTAGGATTGGCATTTGGCAGGAATAAAATTAATTTGAACACAAAAGGTACAACTTTAATTAACTAAACACCCCACACATGTTCTGTCAACCTGATACACATTTTATGGCTGTTTCATTGTTTTCTTTTTCTTCAAGCTTCAGATTGTGACACCGCTAATCCAAGGCAAGGACTCTTGTGACGTCGGTGTCCTTGGTAGATATGACATCATTATCAGTTCTCATAAACAAAAAGTGTAAGATATCATCACCACCATCATCATCAAACGGTTACAATAAACATCCGCTTCTTTTGTCAGCAGCAGACTTTTATTTCTTCTATTTACCTTTCCCATTGCTTGCACTCTCTCTCATGAAGATGGCTCATCAAAATGAGAGCAATAGTTTGAGTAGGAATCGTGAGCAAGGTTCTGCAGAAGAAGAAGAAGAAACATGAACATTAAACCAGATCAAACCCCGGATAATAAATAATCTTATGTGCTATAATTTTCGATGGCTCGAGGTTGATGATCCAAAATACCTGTTCTTGAGAGCGGAAATACATGAAGGGTGTATAATTTAGAAAGTTTGACACCCTAGATGTGTATATATCAGCGTACCTGAGATTATAACAAATAAACAGCTCTCATTTCTCAAGAAAAGCAAGCAGTATTGCTGAGTTTTATTAAAGCCATGTCCATAGGAATGTAAAAGGGATTAAGGGGCATCTTAAGAAAGCACATACTTCTCAATCTGTCTCATCAAATGGCTTTTATCCCACAGACCGGCGCGAGATAGGAAACCCCACCTAACAACATGCACGATACAGAAGGTTAGTGCCAAAATTTGTTATGGATTACCCACTTCAAATGTAATAACCAGAAGCAACCCCCCGGGGGGGGGGGAGTGTTTGGCAGAGCCATGAATTAAGATCCTTCGTGCTTGTTTCATAAGAATAAAAGAGGTCACTCAAACAGTGGGTGCGTCGATTTAGCTCAGTTATCGTTCAAATTATATACAAAATTTGGTTTACATAGTCAGGCACATGGCTGGACTAAGTAATTCGCATACAAGTTGAAGGCACTAGAGATTTCTATACCAATCACTAGGCATTTAGGGCTTACCTTTTACTGAAGAACTCCCCATCTGCCTCCAGCATTGGAGCAATTTTATCATCCAGCCTTTGCATAACAATAAGCAACTTTTGCATGCATTCAGTGAGGTCTTCATCATCCAAATTTGTTGCAGCTAGTGTCTTCAAGTACAGTAGAAAGGGAAAAAAAAATTATATTGCCATCCGACTTGGGCCAGAAGGTTTTAACGCAATAGACTTTGGAAACATTTTTTTTAAAAAGAAAAAAACCATACGTCGGTACGTTTAAATGATTGAATTGATAACCTTACAATTAGACTAAGCTATCAGATGATGCGCACAATATTTTGAGTCATTTTCGAGATGAGAGATAATAAGAATTCCAACAAACAATCAAGTTTGCTAGCACTATAAGAGCACAACAGGGATATCTACTGATAACCAACAAGAGTTGGTCCAGTTGGTAAGGAGTCGGCTCATAACCCACAAGGTCGTGAGTTCGAATCCCACTGTCGATGTGAGGACCTTGTTGGTGGGCGATCTGTAAGTACCTCTGTAAGCGCTCTCTGAGCCTAGAGGCATGCCCTGGCCCTGGTGAGCCCCCGGGACCCAACTCACCTAAACTTTTTTCAATAAAAAAAAAAAAAGGGATATCTACTGATACATAAATATAAGACAAACGAATCGTTCAATTTCAGCCGTTAGATTTAATTCAATGTGTTGAAGAAACTGAATGAGGCAACAGAATAATTGCAGCACCACAGACTAACCACTAAATGCCAACATAAATTCAAGGGAAAATTATTGAAAGCCTTCTGCTTTAACTTTCTCAAGTCTCAACAACAGAAAATAAAAAACTGTGTTGGTAGTATACATATAAGACCCAACTTACCTGAGCAGGCCGTGAATAATTCCGCCTTTGCAGAGCAAGCCGAAGTTGGTTAAAGAGATCCCCTACAGTTTCCTTCTGATTTATAAGCTCCACCAACCTTGTTCTATGACTCTGGCTTTGAATCAGTGCATTATACTGCAGTTTTAGCGTTTTTGTCAAGCACAAGCAACAAGGTTATTTCATAGTTGGAAACCAGTAAAGGCACAACAATGAAGTCTGACATATCAGGGACTCATTTTGTAAATATTTTCCATGTCAAGTACAGATCATGCAACAAATGCATAAGGATTCTGAAATCAATTTCAAAACAATCATCATTTTTCCCCCAAGTCCAACTACACGGACCTATGCTCTTAAGAGGGCGCAGTTTTGCTTGCCTAAATCAGAAAGATTGTGTCGAACAAAGACTGGTTGCACTAACCTCTTCTTCCAATTCTCGACAAATCAATGCTGTTCTCCAACGTAAATGGACTTTGGATTGACTAACATCTGTGTAAATATGGTCACCAACATACAATATCTCATCGCCATGGATATTTAAAGAATTCTCAACCATCTGTGCACTGCCCCCTGAGTATAAACCCCCTGCAGAAGATGGTCATTAAAAAGAATAAAATGAAGTGATTTTCTTCTTTAAATTGGTCATTTCCAGAATAACAAGACAGCAAACAAGTTTACAATCTATGACCCATCCCTCCCTCCCCTTTTTTCTACACGGAAGGATCTAGCAGTATACCCAAATGTTTATAAGAAAGTGCATTATACAACGTGTTAAACAATAAATAGATAGCTTTGACCTCTAAGATCAAGGAGCAGAATAATAATTACCAGTTTTTGCCTTAAAGCATGGCCGCATAAGACCCTCGCCGGTCACCACTTCATACATAGGGTGTGACATTTGAAAGAATTCTGGTTTCCTTGCTGAGACAATTACCTATTTATAAATAAAACCCCATTTGTAATGCAAGATCAATGTAAAATGCACGAGGTTTCTGGTGGCAGCAAAACACATACAATTTTTGGCTATTTCCATCCCTCCATTACAAAAGGCAACTTTTGTTAAATCTCATTTAAGTCTCCCTAGGCATAAATGTAGAACTTACAATGTCAAATAGGTCTCGCCAACTCATATCATTGGGAAGGAACCTATTAAAGGAATGCCTCATCATTTTGTCTGTATAAAGATAATCTGAGTTCGTTATGAGCAGAAGCTTTTTACCAGCCTGTTCCATGAAGATACCTAAGTAAGAAGTCAAAGAATATCTCTTGCTATTTCAGAAACAAATTACAGGCCGTACCTCTTTCTGATCCAAAAGTGCCAAAGGTAATTCAGGATCCGGCTCCACAAACTGTTCAGGCTTAGACATAATTTCACTCTACACAAAAAAGCCATAATCAGTTGGCATCAATACATTATAACATTTAAAATTAAACTAGATTCAGAAAACATGAACTTCACCTTGAGACGACCTTCTACATGTGCCCTGAACAGAGCTTTCCCAACAGCCTGAAAGCCATGCCAATATTAAAGAAAAGAACATCTATAAGCAAATACACTGTTCGAAAAATATTAGCAACCTTTTGATTACCTTATAAAGACCTTTGTAATCAAGTGGACCAAGATCTGGTGAAATAACCCCATCATCCAATCTGTCAACCATCTGAAAAGGAGCACATGTTATCAATAAAAATTAATCCTAATTAGAGACAAATCCAAATCATCAAAAGGAAACAACCTTACAAGTTGGGTGGAAAACAAAGATGCTAATGCTAAGAACAAAGCAGAACCAACGAGAAGCATGCAGCCTAGGGTAGATTCATTTATACTCCAATCTCTTTACCTTTCGCAAAAATAAAACTCTGGGAAAACTATACGAAAATGACACCTAGTAAATCAATTAGGAGACTTGTTGCTTTCATGACTTCCAATTTACCCCATTAGAGCTCAAAAAACATGGCCAGCAATCCTCAGATCAAATGTAAAGATAGCAATACAACTCATTTCACATTGCTGTAGTCAAAAGATGCTGGGAAAGCTAAGATCTAACGCCAAATGCAAAACAAACATCACAGCAGAATATATGCTGCCACAAAGTTCAGTCTTTGTCAATAGTAGTTTCTCGATACCTGCAGGTAGGCCACAGCTTCAGACACAGAGAAAAATGTATTGAGAAACTCCCATCGGCTCTGCTTCAGGTCCACCAGTTCCCTCCCATACATTTCACTTCCATGCACATAAAATTAAGAAGCAATACATAAGTTATTACTCCAATTTGAAACGAAGTGTATTCATTAAGTCATCAGAACATAAATATATATCTAGCCACAAAGAAGCTCCATGCAAAAAATCCATGTTTGGGTGTATAAGGATGTACAGATCTAGTCTTATTTCAGAATATAAAACAAAGTATTAACCATATCTTGGCACATTCTTGAGGCAGTTGAACATACCACTACGTTGTATTAACATTCATTATTCAGGAATAGCTAGTGCATAACAACATACATGAAAACCTGAACAATGCATTATGTAAAACAACCTTCAAAGCGTGTTGATATAACAAGTAGGCAAGTACTCTAACAAGGTTTTAATTAATCAAAATCACAGAGCCCAAAGCATACCTCAGGGCTCTATTAGATAACATTCTGGTCCCATGCATAGCTCTCTTAACGTAACCAAATCGATCAGCCTTAACCAGGTTACCATTCTCCTTATCTATGACAAGACCTCTAATCACCTGAGCAATTCATTACGCATGGCTCGCTTAGAAAGACAAGCTAATACTAATACAATCAAATTGCAACATTTCTCAAATACCCTAAGCTTGCGAAGAATAACATGTTACCAGTTCTGGATCAAATGCAAGTCCATCAACAGGGAAACCCATATTCTTAAGGTTTTCCAGACAGTAGTCATAAGCCCGTCCTTCCCAAGCCTGTAAAGTATATCAACATCAGAAAATTCCCCTGACCTGAATAGTGAGAAAAGCCAACAGTTCCCAGCAACAGAAAACAATAAAATATCCTCTTTAAAACTTATTCTACAATCTGAACTGCAATGCTGAAAATCTAAATATAAAGGACTAAATACTTTCAGCGGGGTACGGGCTAAAGAACTACAAACCTTTGGTGATGCTTCATAACTTGTAAAATCAAATCAAATTGTAAAAGTAAAATCGAAGATATGTAAATGTAAACAAGATTTAATGGTTCATCAGCATCAGCACACTACACTTTCAAAGATCTTAAAGTTATTTGTTTATAAATATGTAGAATATACAAAGGAAACATATTTACAGCCCAGCAGTTAAGATTTCAATATTTTACGCGAGCTATTTACTAATTCAAAACTGAGCTTTATATTTACCATGACATTATAATGCATCAAGGTGTAGTCCATATCATATCCAATTGCACTAATTGACCGCAGATTCAAGGTGCGGCTACAAAATATTCCACGAGGTGAATTTCTAGATGATGAAGGGCTCTGCAGAAGGACATGAGACCTTGTTATTGATATTCACTTAGTCAAGAGAAACATATCTACTCCGTGGAAAGCCAAAGCAAAAGAAAGAAAAAGAGATCAAGAAAAGAAATGGAGGAAAGCAGCCTAGCAGTTCCAGAAAATGACTGGATGAAGGAAATGGTTAGTATCAGGGAAAGGTACAAATAACCAGAATAAGGCATCATAGTACATATTAATCAACGGGGAAAGGTACAAATAACTAGAATAAGGCATCATAGTACATATTAATCAATAAGAAAATCAGAAAAACTCAACTCTTGAGTGCATTCTCCCTAATCCAGCTTTATAAAGTAAAGTTCATATCTCACATAATTATGTGTCTGCGAGGAAGACTTATATTGATATGGTGTGCTCACAAACAACGTCGACATTGCCATGACAAAAAATAATAGTATTCATCCATTATAAAATTTAATGAAAAATATGTAAATGTTAGTAATAAACATGAATTTCACTTTAACATTATCCCCTCTCATTTTTACACGCATTCATGCACATGTTCATGTAATCTTAAGCTTTGTTTGGGAGGTGGGAAGAAAGATGCTGATAACAACGCGGATAACAATGCAGATAAGCAAATAGTGAGAAATTAACAAACACATTCATGACGCAGTCATTAATTAATGGCGTAGATAACAGAGAAGCAGACAACAGATAATATCAAGCCCAAATAACATAAATAGAAAAGAAGCAAGTAAGGAAATAAAGCATGCTTGCCACACCGGAATACCCAAGTTTCTCAGCAATCCTTCGGCTTCATTAGCCTCTGTTCTGGCAACTTCCTCAATTGGACCTTCCAATGCGGCATGGCCATCAATTCCTACATGAGAAACTTACCAATAGTTTAGGTCCCCGACAACAATAATCAATTAGTGTTGCAAACAGATTCAACAAATTCATGCTCTTCCTGACTGGTACCAATGGCATTAAGTATATCAAGAAATAAGGAGAAATAGCTTGACCGTTTTAAGAAGGTAAAACGCGTAATTATATATTTGCAGGAGAAGGGATAAAATATGTCCATCAAACTACAGCGTAATTATAAATTGAATCCGAGAGAACTGAGGGAGAACGTTACACACACACACACACACACACACACACACACACACACACACACACACGTTCTCCCTCTACACCACTACAGCATAATACGAGTGGAATCTAAAAAAGAAGCTACTTGCAACCGAATATGAAAGAGGATGGCAGTTTCAGAAACACCCTTCAACCAAACTTTTCAAAGAACAGCACGCCCAGAAGCTTATAAAAGGTAAAAGAGCGAAAATGACAAATGAGAATATGAAATTGAACTGCAAAAGGGCGGGAGATGAGCAGGGGAAGGTAAAGTTGGGAATCGTACCAAAAGCCTCAAGATGCTCGAACTTGACGTTCAAATCCCCTTTAGTGCTCTGTCCAAGATAGTCCACGTCGTACTTGTGAGACGGCGTCACCGAGAAAACATCACCGCCAACTGACTTGGAGTCCAAACTGCAGCGGCAAAAGGACAAAGTTCTACCAGGTTTCATAGGAGTACTGAAAATAAAACTAGGTCCGATCAAAGCGGCCTTTGTGATACAGATAGGAGTTGCCATTGCTGAAGAGGTCTCTCTGCTAGCGAGGAAACAGCCTAAAGCCTCCGCCGCGTACATATCTGCGGCCAGTGGTGCTGGGGGATGATATTGCCGGTGGGGGATACAGTTACAGTAGATTGAAAATAAACCGCTCGAAAAACGAATCTTTGTAGGGAAGACTTGAAAGTGAAGTAGACTTTTGATATGTGGATAGAAAATCTAAGCTATTGCACTGACATTTTCGGGTGCTGACGCTAGCACAGGATTAATATCTTCTAATCTGGGTTGATTTATGATTTGGGTCAACAATCTTGGACAATAAAAGCCTCAAAGCCGAGCTTTTTCCCTTGTTAATCTTTGACGAAGGATCTTATATAACGTGGTAAAACCTGGGGCATCAATGTACAGGTACTTCGGTATAATATACGTAGGGGGATTAACTTCACGGATGTCTTCATCCTCCCAAACTAGAATTTTGTTTTCTGGTAGACTTCTCTGCTACTAGAATTGATTCTTCATCTTTTTTGTTTTTTGTTTTTTGTTTTTCCTTTTTGAAGCGCATGGTTAGAAAAAGAGAACCAGAAAAGAAAGCAAAATTTCTCCAGGCAACTCTCCAGTCCTCCTGATTCTTGATCATCCATTCCGTCTTTCCGTAATCGGCACTTGTCTGTCTATCATTGATTGGTTTTGTTTGAATTCGCCCTTTCTTCGTACCACAAACAATTACACGGTCAGAACCTGATATTTAAGCAATCTTTAGGAAAATTATTCAGAGAACATAATTCTTGAAAAAGAGTTTTTGTATTATACAGTATATCATTTCTACCGTTTTACCCTTTCAATTGCCTTTGCTCAATGGCGTCGACGTCCAAAGAGATTGCCAGAAATGGGACCCTTGTAATAGGCTAGACCAACGTCAAACTGAGGGAGGACAAACTTTTTTTTTTTTTTTGGGGGACTGACAGGTAGGACAGCCTTGGAAGTGGGAAACCGGAACAACGGTTGGCATTTTCTTCTATCTTTCTTCCCGCCCTAGGAACCGTGGGCCCGTCGAAACAGGATTTTCAGCAGAAGCCCACTTACCCAACCCAACAGCATTATTCGAACTCTTTTGGGCTAAGGCCTTATCCGCAGTTTGCTATTTTAATATTGATTGATTGATTATTGACAAGGTTGTTTATTTATTTATTTTTTCCGATTTTCATGTAACTACGAAAAAAATCGAGACTAGTTTTAACTTTTAACCCCCTAAAAAAGTTTCCAATTACATGTGTTTGAATTTTTTTTCTTCCTTCAAATAGATCGAATCATTTGTGGTAAGGATCATCAAAGGGCAAACTGGTAATCTTCCTTCTGAAAGATGAAGGGGCCCAAAACACCAATGCGATGATGCAGAGAATCCGTGCCACCATGAGCAAGCAAGCGTGCAAACAAAGGAATAAAGAGAATATCACTTTTGACTTTAGTTTTGTCAATATTCCGATCATATATGCAAGGAAGAAACAATTGGTCCAATTGCCCCATGCTGTATCTTGGACTAAGCATGAGAACATAAGAATTAATTAAACATTGAACGCGATGCTAAATATTAAACGTAATTTTACCTTGTCTTTTTTTATTATACATAATTACATATCAAGATACACAAAACCAAATTGGTCAAAACAATAGGTTAATTGTTAGTAAATCAGACCGGAATCAAACCGATAAAAAATAAAAAAATTAAAAATTAATTTAAATTCTCATCGTAACATTCAAAGGACTAAATATCAATTTAATATATTAAATATTTAATAAAATAATCGTACACTTAAATTTTTTTCTACAATTCTCTTGACAAATTGATATCATAGCATTATACTATTAAAATAACCAAATATACATCCTAACAAAATATTAAAATAGATTTATGGTAACAAAATATTCCTATCTACTAATAATTTTTTAGTATTAAAACTTAAAAATAAAAACATAACTGGGTTAACCCACTATAGATGGTCAGGATAATCGGGATTCTCCTGGGTTGATTGGGTTGCACCGAATCGCTCTTTTAGGTCAACTCTATTGCCAATTTTTGCCACTAACCGGATTGGCCAAGTAATCAGTTGGCTAGTTTCCAATCCGGTTTTTAATATTATGGTATATATTAAAAGTTTTATTAAATAATAATTATAATACGCATGATTAGCATTTTATAAAAAATAACATATATTTATCACCAATAACTAATTTATTAATTTTTTAATACTCATAAATTAGTTATTTGACTCTTATAGTACCTCTGGTCCTTAATATGAGAATTTGTTTGACTTTTATTTGTCTATTTTTTTTAAGGTAGTCATCGTAATAACGGTAGTTCTAACCAATACAATTGATTAACAAAGATATTTTAGGAAAAATAACACCTATTTATTATAAATAGCTAACTTAACTAATTTTTTGAAGCTATTCAAATTAGTCAAGTAGTTTTTATATTAAGGATGGGAGATAGTATTAACTACTCCTCCGGTCCTAATTATAAGACCCAATTGACTTATTTGAGGAGATTAAGGAAGTAAGTTAAGTTGGTTATTTATAATAAATAAGTGTTGTCATTCCTAAAATATCCTTGCTAATTAAGTATATTGGCTAAAACTATCATTATTAGAAGGATTATCTTGAAAAAAATGCATAAATATACGAGACAAAATGGATTGGGTCTTATAATTAGGACCAAATAAAAAATCAAATTGGGTCTTATAATAAGGACCGGAGGAGTATTAAATATGGAAACACTAATATTACATAGAATCAAGTTGCAAACTTGTAATATTCCCCGCCTCCTTTTCTTTGATTCTTTTATTTTGCTTCCCTCCAAGTTTTATGACTAATTTGCCCTTACTTTTTTTCAGTAATATCTCATGAGTGCCCATAGGTTTTAAAAAAATGCCTAGGCCTGCGGGGTCTCGTTGTCTGGACCTAAACTTGTGCATAAAAGATGCTTCCCCACCTGTGCTTCCTTTTTAATCCCCGTTTAATCTCCAGGTATCGTAACTTTTTACATAATTCTTCAGCGAAATGCCTTGATTTAAGGTAAAACAAATTCCTACCACCTTACAATTAATCTATCTCCACATATCCATCAGGCTACTGGCCACTTGGACAGCACCTCACACATTTTATGCCACGTGGCTAGCCACACAAGCAATACATGATCAACTTTCACCTTGTAACAGTCAGCGTTTTCAAACTGTAGGATCTGTGACACATTGCCATGTTTTTGAAAGCATGGGGGGAACATTGAGCCAAATATTACCTAGACAGCGATTGTGTTTGTAGAATTGCACTTTAACCCAAAAGTAAAAACTATAGAATTGCACTTCAACCCAAAAGTAAAAACTAATATACAAGTTATAGTGATAAATTAATACTCCTCCGGTCCTTATTATAAGACCCAATTTGACTTTTTATTTGGTCCTAATTATAAGACCCAATCCATTTTGTCTCTTATATTTATGCATTTTTTCCCAAGATAATCCTTCTAATAATGATAGTTTTAGCCAATATACTTAATTAGCAAGGATATTTTAGGAATGACAACACTTATTTATTATAAATAACCAACTTAACTTACTTCCTTAATTTCCTCAAATAAGTCAATTGGGTCTTATAATTAGGACCGGAGGAGTAATTATTAATTATTAACTTTTTCTCTTCCCTCCTCCTAAACCAGATAAATGATCATAAAAAACTCCTTCGCTTTAACAAAACCAAACAAGGATCTTTAAAATCTCCTTCCATCACGATAACACGACGAGAGAGTAATTGAGACTATTTTCTTATCAACATAGGTTCAAGAACAACAGGTCAATCTGAGGGACTTCATCTCTCCAATCATCTATAAAGCTCAAGAACAACAATGACCCTAGTATTTTCAAAAAAATTATATAGATTATCTGTTAGGAATAATTGGCTTCAATATGGGAATATCCATGAGTTTGCTTTGGTCATTGATTGCGCATAACTACTTCATATGCCAACAAACTAATAATAAAATGCTCTTTTGTCTTGTTGCGTATGGTTCTGTAGTTACACTTGTAGAATTTCCAGTGTCTATCCTCTTTGAAGATGCCATTGTACCCGTTGAAAAATATATTAAATTGCTCAAAGAAAATATCATATTAGTTCACACAGATCAGAAGGATTTTAAAATCTAAATGCTTTATGAGGACGTGACAGGGAAGTTTTGTCTCTTCTCTTTATTAACTGGTTATGCTAGAGGGGAAAAAGAACTACTAAAGATTAACGATCAGAAAACATCATGCAGATCCCAGATTCATTCAAAAGAATTTCATGTAAAGAGAATAACATATCCTGTGACAGAGAGTACGAAAACATAGATTAAATTTATGTTCAGATTCATGAAACAACGGACAGAATTTCCACCAAAAAGTGGGCATCTAGAAGCCAAGCATAGTAAGCAGCAATTATATATTGGGTTTTAGTCTGGGCATAAACGTAATGAAGTTTACTAACTCAGTTTATTGAGCATCTAAGTAATGATATATTATTCTTTCTTAAGCATCTAATCCTGTCATGTTCTTTACCTCAAGTCATGTAAGCCTAGGTGGGTTCTTTATTTTGTTTCTCTGTAGATCTGCAAGTTGCTTCATCTTCCTCAAGTTTGTAAAAGGTTCATTTCAACTTTTGGTTATGGATGTTTTTTGACAATTCAGTTGAATTTGAAAGTATGATCTGAACTGTTGCTCTTTTTCTTTTTATCTGGTTACAACTGCCCTCATGTCACTTTCACCCTAAAGGTTAGATGGCTATACAGAGAAGTTTTCAAATTTTTCTACACTGTTTTACAGCAAGACTGAACTTCGGAACCTTCATCATCTTCGCAAGTCTAATGTGAATCCCAAAATAAACTGAAAATTCCATAATCAAGTTTTTCCTACAATGTTTGTTGCTGACTTTAACCAACAATTCTTTTTCCTGCAGCTGCTTTCAGTTTATTAGCGTAAGTGGAGGCTTTTGAAGCCACTGAAGGCTTTCTGTGGGAAAATGACAAGAGAGACAGGTTCAGCAAATAATCCTGTAGGTGGAAGTCCTGAAGAAGCTCAGGGAGTCTCAGACAAGCATCAGGATTCAAAGAAGATTAAGGAAAAAGATGAAACCACCAACACTGTAACCTTTTACAAGCTCTTCTCATTTGCAGATTCTTTGGATTATCTGTTGATGCTTGTGGGGACAGTTGGTGCTGTTGTAAATGGAATATCCATGCCCTTAATGACTGTTTTTATTGGAGATATAATTGATGCTTTTGGAAGATCCGCAGACACCAAAGAAGTTGTCCATGAAGTTTCCAAGGTACAACTTCTTGAGTAACCCTTTTCATTCATTATTAATCTTCGTGACATAGCCAAAAGAGTTAGTTACATTGATGGGATCTGTATATTTGAAATGAACTTTTAGACTCAGAAGCTTTAACTACTTTCATCTCATAATGATGACTCTTGTGCTTAGGTGTCTCTGAAGTTCGTATACTTGGCAGTTGGTGCCTTTCTTGTGTCATTTCTTCGTAAGTACATCAGATTCTGTTTATAATGCTTAGCATATTAACTATTAACTCCTTTTTTTTAACACCTACGAACACAATTGTTTGCTGTATGCTAGAGGTGACTTGCTGGATGGTCACTGGAGAAAGACAGGCTGCAAGAATTAGAGGTTTATACCTGAAGACAATTTTGAGGCAGGACATCAGTTTCTTTGATAAGGAAACTAACACTGGTGAGGTTGTTGGAAGGATGTCAGGTGATACTGTTCTTATTCAAGATGCCATGGGAGAGAAGGTATTTATGAATTAACATAAAAGTATCAAATCATCCTCATTTTTCCTTCTAACCATTACAAAATAGTGTTAAAGATAAAAATTCTTCCCAGGTAGGACAATTCATACAGTGTGTGGCAGCTTTTTTTGGAGGTTTTATCATAGCATTCATTGAGGGATGGCTTCTAACTATTGTCATGCTATCCTCTATTCCTCCTATTGTCTTTTCTGGTGCTATGATGAGCATTGTTCTTGCCAAAGCCACATCCCGTGGACAAAAAGCTTATTCTGCTGCTGCAACTATAGCAGACCAGGCAATTGGTTCTATAAGAACAGTATGTGTATTTGCAGAAAGATCCTCTTCTGATTTTCATTTCTGTAACTATAACATAAAAATGATATCCTTTCCTCCAATATGCAGGTTGCATCATTCACAGGGGAGAAGCAAGCTATAGCTAAATATGATCAGTCCTTGATTAAAGCGTACAGGACTAGTGTGCAAGAGGGACTGGCTTCTGGTATGGGTTTTGGTTCAACTTTTCTTCTTTTTTTCTTCACTTATGGTTTGGCAGTATGGTATGGTGGGAAAATGGTACTGGAGAAAGGATATACAGGAGGGAAGGTTATCACCGTAATTTTTGCAGTTTTGACAGGCTCCTTGTAAGTTGCATTTCTCCTTAATCCCTCCTCCACTTTCTGTTTGCTGCTTCACAAGATGAAATACACAATTGCTAAAAGATTAAAATACATGTATTCAGGAACCTTCACTTAAAAGCCTAACCTTTTGAGGTGAAAGATAACATGGTTCTTGACAACATTGAATGAGAACATATAGATATTTTTGTTGTTCTTGTCTGATTATATTGCCAGGTCTCTGGGGCAGGCATCTCCAAGCTTGAGTGCTTTTGCTGCAGGACAAGCTGCAGCCTCTAAGATGTTTGAAACAATTAAAAGGAAGTCAGACATTGATGCTTATGACATTACTGGCAAGCAGCTAGATGACATACGTGGGGATATAGAACTGAGGGAAGTTTGCTTTAGTTATCCTGCGAGGCCAGATGAACTCATATTCAATAGATTTTCTCTCTCAATACCAAGTGGCGCTACAACAGCTTTGGTTGGACAAAGTGGGAGTGGAAAATCAACAGTTATTAGTCTGATAGAAAGATTTTATGATCCACAAGCTGGTGAAGTTCTTATTGATGGTATCAATATCAAAGAATTGCAGCTAAAATGGACTAGACAGAAAATAGGCCTCGTCAGCCAGGAACCAGTTTTGTTTACTTGTAGCATTAAAGAGAATATTGCCTATGGTAAGGATGGCGCGACAGATGCAGAAATCAGAGCTGCGGCAGAGCTTGCTTATGCTGCAAAGTTCATAGATAAACTTCCTCAGGTGAAATCAGAAACTTTTATTTATTCTTTGAAACTTCATTTCCATTGCCCAATAGACATTCCTGCTTGCTTTTTTGACAAAGTTTCTGAAAATCTTTCAAGACTAAATACAATATTGATCACAAATATTTGTGGATATAGGGGTTAGACACAATGGTTGGCGAACACGGAACTCAGCTGTCTGGAGGTCAAAAGCAGAGGGTAGCCATAGCAAGAGCAATATTGAAAGACCCAAGAATTCTTCTTCTTGATGAAGCAACAAGCGCCCTTGATGCTGAATCTGAGAGAATCGTACAGGAGGCACTGGACAGAATAATGAAAAGTAGAACCACTGTTATTGTAGCTCATCGCTTGAGCACTGTAAGGAATGCTGATATTATTGCCGTTATTCAGCAAGGAAAAATAGTAGACAAAGGTAAACAGTCTCTCTTACAATAAATAAATTTTCAGCTAGCAATCTAGTGTCATATTGTTCTACTTCCTTCATAGCGATTCTGATTTATTTCTCTCCAAACTCCCCTCCAATTCTCCTTTCATTGTTGCAAAATTATTTCTAACATAATCACAAATGATAGAAGGTCCCTTAAAGCTAAATGCAATATTATTTCTTTTAACTGATCAGGTTCACATGCTGAGCTCACAAAGAACCCTGATGGAGCCTATAGCCAACTCGTTAGATTGCAGGAAACAAAGGAGTCAGAGAATATGAATGCAAATGACACATATAAGCCAGAAAGCATATTGAATTCTGAAAGGCAATCAAGCCAACGACTTTCTTCCTTAAAATCTATAAGTCGAGAGTCATCTGGACTAGGGAGAAGCAGTCGTCATTCATTCTCAGTGCCATATGGTGTGCCTCCAACAAATGGACTCTTTGAAACAGCAGGTGCGGAACCTGAAGCTCCTAGTTCAAAAGATTCACCAACTCCTCCAGAAGTGCCACTTTACCGCCTGGCTTATCTAAACAAACCTGAGATTCCAGTCTTGTTTATAGGGACTCTAGTTGCTGTGGCAAATGCAGCAATATTCCCAGCTTTCGGGTTACTGCTCTCCAAAATGATAAACACTTTCTATGAACCTGCAGATAAACTCAGTAAAGATTCAAAGTTTTGGGCGTTGATATTTGTTGCCCTTGGTGTGGCATCCTTCTTAGTAATTCCAGCGAAGTTCTACTTATTTGCTGTCGCTGGTGGTAAGTTGATAAGAAGGATCCGGTTAATGTGTTTTGAGAAAATAATCCACATGGAAGTAAGTTGGTTTGATGAAGCTGAGCATTCAAGTGGAGTCCTTGGAGCCAGGCTATCTACTGATGCAGCTTCTGTCCGAGCTTTGGTTGGAGATGCACTTCTTTTGCTGGTTCAAAATATTGCTACTGCAATTATTGGCTTGGTCATTGCTTTGGAGGCATGCTGGCAGCTTGCTCTTATAATTCTTGTTATGCTACCCATATTAGTACTCAATGGATACGCACAGTTCAAGTTCATAGAAGGATTCAGCGCAGATGCTAAGGTTTGTTCCTTTAAATTTTCGACCTGGGGGGATTTTGTGATGTTTGTAAGTTTGTAAAGTGAACTTCCTACTTTGACTTGTGACTTGATAACTTCAGTAATCACTAATTTGTATCATCATTATACTTGAGTAGTTAATTTATGTGTCAAACGTTATCATAACCTTTTGTATTTGATTTTCTGGAATGATATTCATTATACTTTTTAACAGAAATTGTATGAGGAAGCAAGTCAAGTGGCGAATGATGCAGTAGGGAGTATTAGAACAGTTGCTTCTTTCTGTGCTGAGGAGAAGGTGATGGAATTATACCATAAAAGATGTGAAGGGCCAATTAAAACAGGCATAAGGAGAGGGATAATAAGTGGAGCTGGATTTGGTTTATCATTCTTCTTGCTGTTTTCTGTCTATGCATGCAGTTTCTACGCTGGAGCTCGACTTGTACAAGACGGCAAATCATCATTCTCAGATGTTTTTCGTGTGGGTCCTCTAGTCTTCTAACTTGTTTAACTTGGCATACACATTTCATGGCTTTTCATTTAATTATTGACATTTTAGTATCATTCTTTTGGGAGAGGATAAAAAATGAGTTTACAGCCAGCAGAAGGATGAGATATCCTCAAACTAGATACTGCGGAAAGGTTCAAAACATATAGGAACAGAAAAATGTAAAGCCTATTAATGCATTATCACTGTCCAATCTCCTTGCATACTAGATAAAGTGATTTCTTAAAAAACAATCATGTGAGAAGCTTCAAAGGGAAGCCATACATATAATAGTATCAGTTACCAGTCATTTTGATAAAAAATATACTGTAATAGAAAGGTTCAAAGTAGCCGTATTGTAGCCCTTTCTGATGGTTCTGTTTCCTGTTTGTAGGTCTTCTTTGCTCTCACTGTAGCAGCATTAGGAATCTCCCAATTTAGCTCCTTGGCTCCTGATTCAAGTAAAGCTAAGAGTTCCGTTGGTTCTATATTTACTATTCTTGATGGGAAATCAAAAATAGATCCCAGTGATGACTCCGGGATGACATTGGAACGGTTAATGGGAGAAATTGAGTTTCGCCATATCAGTTTCAAATATCCAACCAGATCTGATTTTCAAGTATTCAGAGATCTTTCCTTGAGCATTCGTTCAGGAAAGGTACACAGTGCACATAATGCACCAGTTTGATTTTGGTGAACATGCACAAACTAACATTTGCCAATTATACTGTTATTCCAATTGGAAGAAACTAACTTTTGATCAAACTGTTGGTGAAAATACAGACAGTTGCTATAGTTGGAGAAAGTGGAAGTGGGAAATCAACTGTGATCTCGTTGTTGCAGAGATTTTATGATCCTGATTCAGGTCACATTACACTGGATGGAATAGAAATCCAAAAGCTACAAGTAAAATGGTTAAGACAGCAAATGGGTTTGGTGAGTCAAGAGCCTATGTTATTTAATGATACAATTAGAGCCAATATCGCATATGGAAAGGGAGGGGATGCAACAGAGGCTGAAATTATTGCTGCAGCAGAACTGGCAAATGCTCACAAGTTCATTTCTAGTTTGCAGCAGGTAACTTACAATTCCATATCAGCTCATTTTCTTTTTCATGACCACTCAGTAAATTTAGCTTCCAGCACTTTGATATTAAATCCTAGTTATACATCATACATGAAAATATTTGATTTTGGAAAAACAACTAGGTGGACTCTCTGAATTACACGTAATCTGATGAGCAAGTCAAGATATTAATAACTTATTATAAATAGTACTTCTTGTTATAATTTTTATAGTATATATTGATATTGATGATGTTGATACATGCAGGGGTATGACACAATAGTAGGAGAGCGAGGAGTTCAGTTATCTGGGGGACAAAAGCAGCGCGTGGCTATTGCACGAGCCATAGTAAAGAATCCGAAAATATTGCTTCTGGATGAAGCTACCAGTGCCTTAGATGCAGAATCTGAGAAAGTGGTACAGGACGCGTTGGATCAAATTATGGTGGAAAGAACCACAGTAGTAGTGGCTCATAGATTATCCACAGTTAAAAGTGCAGATTTGATTGCAGTAATTAAAAATGGAGTCATAGAAGAGAAGGGAAAGCATGAGAATTTGCTCAACAAAGGTGGTGCCTATGCTTCCTTAGTGGCATTGCACACAGGTTCTTCCATAAAAGAACTCAACTGAATTCCTGCAAGTTACAACTCAGCAAATCAAGGACCTTGCAAGATTAAGATTTCACAGTAAATAACTACGCAGTGTTAACATGAAAAAGGTTAATGCAAGACTAGATTGGTGAACAGTTGGAGTTAAAAATATCAGCAAAATTGTGTTAATACTAAGAAGGGTTAATATAATTTTTGATTCATCATATTTGCTCTTATTTTGATTTTGGTCCCTCAAGTTTCAAATCATAAGTTTTGGTCCTTTAAGTTTTATTTCCTTTAAAACATTGATCCCTGTAATTTAATAAAAACTTGGACCATTTTGCCTCTTGAGGGACCAAAATTTATAGTTTGAAATTTAAGAGACCCAAACCAAAATGAAGACAAACTTAAAGGATCACAGATTATATTAATCCTACTAAGAAAGATTTATGTTCATATTTACAGATATAAAATTAAGGTTGCCTGTGTTACCCAAAAAAAAAAAAGGGGGAAAAAAACACAAAAGTGTGGGTATAGATTCTGAAATGTCCTCTCAACTACAGTATTTATTCCTTCCTTACAATTTAGAGAACAAAAAGAGAATTGCAAAATACTCCATACACCAAAAAAAGTATGGACCAAGCCAACTGATATATGGAGAATCTTTTGAATGTTTTCAAATAATGGTAATAACAACGATTATGATTATTATCTGTTAATTTACTCAATTGAAAAGGGTCTGATATGTGCTTGATGATATCATAATGTGATTTGCGATTATTGTTGGTTTGCCCAATGATGGAGACACGCATTGCCATCACTTTTAAGAACAGGACCATCCAATCACTTATTATTAACACCAAACTGACTCCACTGAGAATCACTAACTTTTCTATCAGATTTATATTACTTTTAAGGATCCAATCAATGAAGAAAAAAATAATCTTGGACGCAGAAAAAGAAAAAAGAAAGATTGAATTTGTTGCCAAGTCTTTAAAAGAGTGGAGTTTAAAACGTGGCGAAGTTTGTGATTCAGATCTGGGACCCCACCACCAGAACGCGCAGAACCTACTACCTCAAAAATCACAACCACTATGTTTGGATTTGTGTTTTAGGATCTTAACATAAGATTTCTGTGTTGTTGTTATTAAGAAACAAATTATATTTTACACTTTGTGGCGTCATCTTCGTTAGTTTTACTTGATACTAACATCCCTTACCTTAAGCTGCAGGCATGCAATTTCTTACTCAAACTACAAACACACGTGAACTCAGATCTCATGCAATCAATCACACTCTGGCCATAATCAAGGATTTAATTAGAGGTTTTAGGTCCTACTTCAATTCTTAAGGGACTATAAAACCATATAACATAATTAAACTATAAACAGGATGACTTAGTTTTTTAATTCAGTAAAATATATGGGGCCCCACCTAATTTACACAAATACATGTTAAAGGTCTTTGACAAATAACTATAACTCAATAGTAGCATGTATCCTTTGAGATTCAGAGTCTCTAAAATTGGTAAAATTGAATGCAAAGGACCAAACTACCAATGTTTTTAATTACATATCATACATGACCCATAAGAGATTTTCTTTTATTGTTGATAAAAATATAAATAGTGTGATTCACTTTAGATTTCGTGTGAACACACCACTTGTAACCTAGTTTTGTTTTGCAATTATTTTCTTTATTTTAAATGTAAGAGCTAATTAGAGTGCTTAGTTTGATACTAAATGCAAAATTTCAATCCATTTTTCTCTTAAATTTATATTTTTATCTTTAAACTATCCCTATTAATTGTGTATACTTACATGTACATATTAAAAGAGTTTCTGTTGATGAGCGTAATTTCAATATAAATGATTAATTGGGTATTTGAGGAAAACCAATATACTTTTTTTTTTAATGAATAACAATTAATTTCTTGACTCAACTCCTATATTTAGCAATAAGGGGAGTATAAAGAAAAATGTGGGATGTTAATACTCTGCATTCAACTTCATTGCGTCCAAATTCATTCATGTTATCCATAAAGCTAACCCATCAATTGTTTGGAAAGACATGGAAAAAAATCGAACCAAAGGGGATAAAGAATTAAAGATGATACAGAACAAGTTGGTTAAAACTTAAAAATTAAATGGTAACCTTGATGTCTCCCATTTTTGGACACAGTTCATAGACCGACGTACCAACCATAAGGGGATAAAATTCGTTGGGCAATCAAAATATTAATTTTGGTAAAGTTTTGTGGCTCTTGAATTGTCACTAAATTGTTACAATGAAAACGGCAGAATGTAAATATTTCTCTACAATCACACAGAAAATGAAATTGTATATAACAATTATTTCTTCTTTCACATTAATCTTTTATTTTTCTCATTATATTCTCACAACTGCACAATAACCAAGGGTTCGAATTAAACAAGGAGAGATGTACTTGGAAATTGGGAAAAATGTAGACATATTGTTTTAAGGATTTGAAAACAAACCTACCCATTGAAACAAGAGAAACAACACAAGCTCAAGGATGCAATTTCAAAGAGAAACGATTTCAAAATGGTGAATCATTCTTTGGTTTGTATCATATAACAACCGCTGTAAGAAATGGCACTTTCATGTGATATGCAAGTCACACCCAACAAAGGAAGAGCAGATTGGGACTCTTTCTTTCTTCATTCTTATTTATTTGCAAGCATTCCTTCAAAGGAAATCACCCACTACACCATCCCCTCCTCTCACCCGTTCCCTTTATCACCTTACAAGTGTTTGATCAATTGCTCCAGAGAAACCCCATTATAAATTCAAGAACCCTCACCAACAATTCTCAAGGTTTTCTTTCTCCCTTTTTGTCAATTTCTGTGTTTAGTCATTCATCATATATATCTGTGATCTCATTTTTCATACTTCAGTCAGGTTAACCACATGAAAGAGGAGCTATTAAGACTAGAAGACTGCAATATGTATATGAAAGATAAAGGAAGCTTCTTTGCAGGTATATCAATATTCAGTCTCTCTGGTTTCTGAAGTTTAAGCGCAAGTTAAACTTGCAGGCTGTTGCCAAGTGGTTTCTTGGTTGATTTTTGATGAGCTGAGTTGTGAAAGCCGTAGGCTTAAATGCTCTTTATAACCAAAACTCGGATAGTTGGGAAGCTGATGAATTAACAGACATTCTGTCCTTAAATTTGTCTGCAGATGAATCTTCATGTGCCTCTGAAATTTACCATAAAAAACAAACGGAGCCCAGCTAGTTTTGCATAAAAACTAGAAAAATTCATGCATCTTCCTCGTCTACAAAATTAAAGTAAATCAAAATAACTATGAATAGAAAGTATGATTATTTAAGGAATATTTTCCCTTGAAAATTGGCAGCCATATCTTCGTATTTTTATATAGTTAACGGAATCTATCTATCCATTATAAACATGAGTCGTTAATTTTTTCTTTCTTTTTTGGAAAGACCATACTGCCTGTGAGGGAAGTCAAATTAAGAAATGAGGTCAGAGTGGTCCTGTGGTCGAGTGGGGCAAACATGTGATTCAGGAAAGGCTTTTGTTTGTATTAGGCCTAATGGAAGACGTGGCTGGAAAATATTGCTTTGAACTATGAGAGGAGTGCGGTGGCTCTAAAATTGAGCAGATGCTGCAGAAGCAGCAGAAAATGGTTCTCCTTTTCTCTCTCACTTTCTTGCGCACTCACACATTGCTAAAGTCTATAGAATAAGTAGCTTATTCAGGTTTCACGGGTTTCCCCTTTTCACCAACTCCAAAGAGTTTAATCATATCATATGTATATTTACACACATATAAAAGACGGCCCTTGGCTATTGGCAATCACATGAAGCTCTTGGCCAACAGTATTGCATGAGTGAACTCTATTTGCTGCAAATTTTAGAAGGTGAATAACTCTTCCAGTCAGGTCATATGCTTCTCTTCCCTTTGTTTAACCATCATCTTTTTCTTAACGCGCCTCTTCACATCAGATGCAGGTATGTCTTTTAAGATTCTTAGACAGAGATTCTTATCCTTTTCCCTTACATGCCCCACCTAGTGGTTGCTTCCTTGGTTTTGGAGGGAAACGTTTTCCTTTCACATTGCTAGACACAATGGCATGATTGAAGAGTCATTTCATTTGCGGTTGTTAATTAGAACGATCAAACTTGAGCTAATAACTCACGTGACAGTGGTTTTGCTTCTTTTGCTTTTAAGATGTTCATAATTTCTTAAAAAATTTGACTTCATGATTTTCAAAATTTGTTGATAAATCATCATAAGCTTATAAATTTATATTGATAGTTCTTCTCACTGATTAGTTCGTTATTTAACTAATTTCTTAAGCTTGCATGTATCTTCAATTTGTGAGGTTCCAAACTAAATTTATCACAGATAATTTTCTTATCTTCCAACTGTATTTAATCACCACGATATTTTAAAATAGTCTTGATGTTGTTATACAAAAGTTAACGAAAGAAAGATCAGAGACATGCTTTTGGATCTGATTAACTCATAGTAAGTTTATAACTTTTCCTGATTTTGAGCCATTTTGTAGAGATCAAGAAAGGAATCTTTGTAGCTTTTAAGGGCCTTAAGCAATGACTTAGTGACTCACTAGCTTTTTGTGTCTTTTAATGAGGAATATTGCTATTAGGGTAATCCATATTTGCCTTTTCAATATATATATATATGTAGTAGTAATAGTAATAATAATACATTTCATTAGCGAGATGGGGAATCTTGATAGCTGAGACATCTTTTCGTGAATGTACTGCCTAAAATTGCTTGATCCTAGGTCTTCGATTTGCGTGGCCTATGCTTTGGATATTTGTTTGCATTCCCAATCTTCATGGACCCATCAAAATATTTTTGGAATATATTATATATGTAATAATATTGCATAATTAAAGCGATCTAATTTTATATAATTTTTCTACTATTATTTGACCATATTTAAGAGGAAGTCCTCTTAATACAATTTTTTCCCCATTTATAAGGTTCAAAATTTGGACATTATTTAAAAGTAATTGAACCCTTTCCACTTTACCCAACTAACTGCTGGTTCTGATATATAAGGGGGTGTTTGGCATT